AATACAGTAACTGCAGGAAAGCTTTTACATTGAGCCACATTTAGCATTGAGCAGACAGCCTCCAGTGTCTGCTCCCACTCCTGATGTCATACTCCTACACACCCACAGTGTTACTAATGACTGTCTTCAGGTGCAAGTAGTGCAAAAAAAAAAAAAAAAAAATCACAAAACTCACCGAGTCACAGGAAGACAAGGCATGAAACTCACAAGGCATGGACATCACAGCATCGGCACAAAACAATGATCACACAAAGACAGAGTGAGGGAGAGGGAGAGAGAAAGAGATACCAGTGAATGACAGAGACACAGGTGTGTGTGATCACACTGATTAACTCCACCTACAGGAGGGAAGGGAGACAGACAGACCTCACGAGCAGAGCCTTTAGAATATCAGTTAAAAAAAACAACCCAGGAAAAAAAAAAAAAAATCTTTGACTTTATTTGTTTTGTTGATTGTGCCACTGATTATAAGGTTGAAATGTTTGAGAAGGACTTTTAAGTATTTCTCGCTGTTGACATAAGCTTGTAATTGGTGCGAATTACAGCGTTCTAGTCGTCGCCCCTGTCTGTCACTCGCTGTCACCTAAAGTGTAGGCTGACATGTTCCTATTCTTTCAGTGTCAGCGCACTTCAGTGTCAAAAAAAAAAAAAAAGTTCACTACCAATTTGTAAAAACCCATACCTGGAAAAGAGAAGGTGAGACAGGTGTGACAAACTCTTTATGTTTATATGAGTACAAACCACCTCTGCATGGTCATGGAGTATAAAAAGTACAAAGTAGTAACGATAGTATACATAGATAGGTAGATAGATATTAGGCCTGAACTATGTGAGAAATACTGTGCTGACATTGGCTGCGTGGGAGATGCAATGAAGGAGGCCTGTTTTTCTCCCGGGCTGAGCAGGTTAATGAGTGTTCCTGCAGGCCTCCTCCCTGCTTCGTGTGAAAAGCGAGGGCTTGGAATTTTTCAGCCTAAAAGTTTGTACAAAAGCCCCCGTTGCCTAGCTGCGGGTGAGAAGACTCAGTGTGACAGCAAGGCCTGCTTTTGTGCGTGTGGCACTCTGACCGCACCGGATCTTCTTAAGAATACACAAGAGTGAACTGGGGAGGGGGGGGACGACATTTGCTTCTAACTTTGTTTATTTGCAGCTTTTATGAAAGAGAGTCATTTCTCCACCAAAGACATTTTTCACTTTGTGCAGCCCCAACGTTTTAATCTTTCACACAATAACGGTTCACCTCTCCTCTTCACTCGAGATTAGTCATTGTTGTCAATAGTTTGAAGGCTAGAGGTAGATTTTTTTTTTTTTTATAGATGCAACAAAAACAACATACAATAACAAGTGTTACATTTCAGTTAACAGCGGAATGCAAAAAGGTCTCATGTTTGCACCTGCATCCTCCAGGAAGACTTCCTTCTGGTAGGAAGGAAATGACACAAAGTACTCGTACTGTCTGGATTATCAATTTAAAATAAAATAAAACATTTTAACAAACGGGTTGCAACTAGCATGAGCTCCAGTGACAAGTCTGTTGATGACAGGGTCTTCCCCCCCACTGATATTATCACAGCAGGTCGATTTAAGCCAGGTTCTTTTAGTGTCTCTGTGCAATGAGAATGTGACGACGAATCACATCACTATCAAAGAAGCAGTAGCTAATTTTCGTAATGTCATTTTCTGGTTTTCACTCTGGGACCATTCCATATTTTCACCATTCTTTTGAAGCCCTTTTTGAACTTTTTTGAAAAAAAAAAAAGTCAGGCTGGTTAAACTCCAACAAAGCCTGTGGCAAAAAGGGGCTCAAAGACATCTTGCTTGTAAAACCTCACAAAGGTATGAGGGGCGTGGTCCACCGAACGACATTACAAATTCTGAACAGAGACCCCCGTGAACAGAACGAATGGAGTGGACACTCAGTGTAGAGTGTGTCCTTAGACCCTGAGGTGGTTGCATACCTTTACAAGTGTAGGCCAGAAAAATGGTCCTCAAAACCCAGAGGGGAGGCTGTGGTGGACATTAGATGTTGTACCTTTTGCTAGTCCCAGATTTAAAAAAGCTGAATCCATTAACTTTGGCATAAAAGGCATTAGATGTTGTGCCTTTTGCTAGTCCCAGATTTAAAAAGGTTGAATCCATTAACTTTGGCATAAAAGGCAGGTTAGGCTGCAGACGTATTTGGAGAGCCCGTGACCAAAATGCAAACAGAAAGGACAGGTGAATAAACTAGTATTGCTGAAGTTACTGTACGGTTACTGTTAAGCTTCAAAGAAAAAGGGGTTCAAACACCAGTGTCTGTCTGGATTCTGCTACTGTATCTCAGCAGTGTTAATCCCTCGTATTGATGTCATCGACTTTGTGACGTCTACTTTGCCGTCTGATAGACTGTCATCACAGCTTAGGCTTCGGGAATGCGATCGGACATGCCCGTTCCTCTGCAGGGTAGAGCTGTGTAATCAGTGCTGAGCTGAAATCCTTGTTTTCACCGTCGCTCACATCCTTGTGTTTGCCTCAGGTTATCGGGTTGTACATACGACCTTGTCATGTTTCTGAGGTAATGAGCTGGTACGGCGAGTTAATTCTGTTTACCACTTCTGTGTTGATAGACCGCTAAAAATGAATCATCTGTGGCCAGACCACAGGTCCAGACCAATTTCCTCAGTGCCTCGGAGGCCAGCACAGAAGGGAAATAACAAAAGGGAAAAATGCAGTCAGTCAGTGCCTCGGACTTAATATTTGAAAATCCTGGCTGTCACTTTATCAACAACTTATTTTCAAATTAACAGAACATTGAGCAGGAACGTTGCAAAGCAACAGAGGCCTCGTAGGAGCAACAAAATAGAGGAGATTTTCTAGAACTTTTCTCATTTGAAATGCTTTAGTGGTGATTTTATTAGTACATAGCGGTTGTTAACGCTTGCTTGTTTGCTAACAGCAAACTAAACATACAAACCGGTAGCACTCGGTGTTTTCCATTAATTAAATGGGAAAATATCCAAGGCAGAAAGCAGAGTGCAGTACCATGTTTTTAAACACTCATTCACCATATCATTTATAGGGGGCACTGTTTTACACGTGAAACGCTTTCGCAAAGAGAGAGCTGCGGAGACGACAGTTTGTTTTTTTTTTACAGTAATTTGTGAAGAAAGTGAGGAAGTCGCCTTTCCTTACGTCTCCGCTGAAGAAAACACCAGTGCATTTGACTATTGAAAAACGAAATGAAAGTAGTGATGAAACAGTATTTTGGTAATTAAACAACAAATATTGCAGATGTATATGTTATACATTATTTGTAATTAAGTACATAGTATAAGTCATTTTTTTTATAACGTATAAGTTATATGTGCATTTCACAAATAGGCTCAGGCTAACACCTGGGTGATGGATTTTTAATTATAGTGTGTCTCCAGGTGGGGGCAGCTTCCCGTGTTAGTCAGTGTCTGTCCCTGTGTGAGAACAAATCCACAGAAATGTGTCAGAAAATAAATCAAACCGAAGCATGTCTGTGCTCTTTGTGGTGGCTCTGGATGTGTTCTTCCTTTTTTTTTTTCCCTCTCCATTGCGCCCAGAGGGCTTTACATTAAACTCGACAATTACTTTAAGGAAACATCTAATATTTGGTACAACCAATAATAACTTGTACTCAAACGTTACTAATAAATTGTAGTTTAATGTAAAGTCGGTCGAGGTTACAGTGACCCTCAAGCTGCATTTTGCTGTTAATTTATTAATTCTGGTTAACTGTAAACAGAGTTTCATTAATTCTGGTTAACTGTAAACAGAGTCCATAAGATTTGTTTTTTTTAATTTTTCTCAATGTTTGTTCTTCTCTTACCTTACAGCTGATAGGATGAACATGGGTAATCCCTACCAGAATTTGTGGCAGCAGGCAGATTAACACCACTGGCTGCGTCTCCGGCTCCTGTTCGCGACCTTTATCAACAGCAAACTTCACCATGAGTTAGAGGCAATTACTCCAAAGGAACGTCACCACAGCTTCCGCACCTACCATCTGACTACGGCAGCATCACTTGCCTTGCTTCATGAGCCAGCAGGATGCAGCTGAGGTTCTCGCACTCTCCGAGCGCCTCCTCATAGCTTCGCACAAGGGACACGCTGACAATGTGGTGCAGCTCATTAACAAAGGTGCAAAAGTAGCCGTGACCAAGGTGAGTGCACGGTGACGGTAATCATTTCTACACCTCGGCCGCGGTACTGTTATTAGTAGGTCCATGAAAAGCTACTGTATCTCTAGAGATATGATTATACTGGGGATGAAATCAGCCAATCAAATGGCTGCATTTAGAGACGCAGAGAAACTTGACTGCAAGTGAGTGAGACTTCAGATTGCTTCTACTGTAAAAAAATACTTCTTGCTTCTTGTTATTATTATTACTGTTTTGTGAAAAGCCCTAAAGCTAACGCTTCCTTATTTCATTGTTTTTGTCTGTTGTCACATTAGTGAGCCCTATTTTATGGGCCCAGGTTTTTTTTTTGTGGATCATGTGCTTTGCATTTTTCTTTTTCTGGCAGTGCAAATCAGGTGCTTGAGAAAATCAACACTTGGCAACATATTGTCAGAGCCACCGCGCGGTTTACACGGCTTACTGTTTTATTGCGTGATGATCTTTCATCCAGCTCCATTCTGGCAACATGGTTGTTATGATAGGATAATCTAGGATAAAGGAGAAAGAAAACTGAATGAAACGCAGGTGTTTTCAAGTTAGAAGGGAGTGTGCTAAATGGAAATCGAGACAGAAAAAACGTAAACAGAAGGAAGTCATTGCATGGCATAAAATTACAGGTCTAAAAAAGAAAGACGAGATGTTTCTTTTGCTCTAAATCGGAGCTCAAAACGATTTATTTGTATAACTCTTGAAGGAGATATACGGGCTGGTTGTCCAAGGTTACTGTTATCTGTCCGTAGGAAAAACATTTATTTATAAGCACGGAATGATTGCCATGGTTAGAATTCTGGCTATGATCTGTTAGAACCAATCAGAAGCCTGGCTGCATTTTGGACAAGTTGGCTGCTCACAATATGATTACAAATGCTGTGTAACATCAATATCGTTGAGCTGTGTTGTCTCTAGGCATCTTGAATCTTCTTGTAAATCCTGCTGTAAT